TCGTGCTGGCAAAGTACTCTTTCTTTCCTGGCCAGTGATGGGGCTAGTTCTGGTGTTCGTGCTGCCGTTGGTGTGGGCAAATTTCCTTTCTTTCCTCTCTTGGCGGTTTTTCAGGTTTGGAGGGGGTTGAGGGGGGGTTCAGAGGATCAGGAGAAGAAGGGGGTTTGTGTTGCTGTTTCTTCTGTTGGAGAGGAGGAAGTGGTCGTGGTGCTCGTGCTGATGTTGATTCTGGTGTTGGGGATGCTGCTGATGGTGTTGGTGTTGAGGCTGGTTTTCATGTTCGTGGTGTGCTGGTGCTGGTTCTGGTGTTGCTTTTGCCGTTGTTAATGTTGAGGCCATTGATGGCGTTGGTGCTTTCCTTTCCTCTCCTCTCTGATGCTGCTAGTTCTGTTGGCTAATCTTGCCACTTTCCACAGTCGACATGACCACACGAGCATCAATGGAACCCCGAAGCAGCAGCAACGAATCTCTCCAAATCGACATCTCACCCGCTTCAGACGACAGCACCAACCTAGGAGACAAAGAACGTGGGCTCCTCGCACCGCACCATGTCCCATTGTCCGTTCGCTCCCTCCTCTCCGCAAACCTAGACGAAGAAACGGAGCTCCAAACACGGCCTGCGTCCGCGGCTTCTTCTACAAGGGGATATATCGTCACTTCCACAGGTAACTATATCAAGCGAAAGACGCCGTTTCGTCTGGATCAAGGAGCTCGGAGGTGCTGCTTACACCTCAGCTTGCGGCGCTTGTACAGGCGTATGCGGATAGTGAGATTGCAGCTCGGATACGGAGGGAGATGGAGGAAGTGAAGAGGGAGGCTGAGGCGTCTGGGAATGGGAATGGGAGTCTTGCGAGGAATGGGGATGTTGCGTTGGAGACGTCACTTTTGAGGGGGCGAGTTGGGGGACGCAGTTTACGATTTTGAGTGGACGGGCGTTTAAGAACCTTTATAGGGATCCGGCGCTTTTGGCTGCTCATTACATTTCGGCTGTTGGGTTGGCTGGTAGGTTTCTTGCCCTTTTCCTCTGAATATCACGCACTTAGGGGGTTTTGGACAGTTATTTGTGGATTGTTCTTCCATGATGTCACGTATGTCCTTGAACCTCTCCATTGGGTTTCCACTCATTGCTTTGTAGGGATGATATTGCGGGATTCCAGAATCGACTTGGTTCGTCTTTTGCTTTTGCCTCTTATTGTTCACTTGCCTGACGTTCTGTTGCAGGTATCTTCTTCTTCACGCTGGCACTCTTTGGTTTCTCTTGTCTTTCGAGTTTGGGACTGTTCGCGAATGAGCGGATTCTGTTTATGCGGGAGAGGTGTGTGCTTTTCTGATTGGCGTGATGAGTGTTAATCAAGGTTCGTAGGGCGAATGGGTATTATTCATCTTTTACCTACTTTGCATCCAAAGTTCGTACCTATTTTGCTTCTAACGATGATTGAATGTTGACTTTGGAGTACTTAGGTGCTCTTCGACATCCTGCCTCTCCGACTAGTCCCTCCTCTGATGTTTGGCGGAATCGTTTACGGGCTCGTGGGACTGGTCCCAACCGTAGCCTGCTTCTGGAAGTTCATGCTCACGCTGGTTTTGTTCAACCTCACAACTGCAAGTGTGGTATTGTGGCTGCCTTTGATAGTGTCAGCGTGGCAAGTTTAGTTGGGACTCTTGTCATGTTGTTCAAGTACGTTTTTCTCTCCTGGACCTACGCTGCTTGGCTAACGAACGGCGCAGTCTGTTGTTCACGGGCTTGCCTGTCAATCGGGAAACTGTTGCGCCTGCGTTACAGTGGCTCCATACGGTGCCTTTCTTCCATGCTGCGTTTGAAGCTCTTGCTGTGAATGAGCTGCGATACCTCCAGTTGAAGGAGATAAAGGTGTGGTTTTTGTCTTTCCTGGTGTCATTGTGCTCACCTTTAAATTGCAGTACGGAGTTGAACTGGACCTCCCAGCGGCTACCATCCTCTCTATCTTTGGTCTTCGAGCCCAGGTTCGTCCGTTTTGCCCTCTTTTTCAAAGGCTGAAAGGGACTGATGATGTTGTTGGTGACACAGTCGTTCTGGTGGCCCAACATATCGCTACTGGGCATCTTCTTTGTGGTTTTCACGACCGCTAGTTATCTTACGCTGCACTTTTTCGTGAAGGAGAAGCAGTGGTTAGAGACTTGAGTTGGGTTGTAAACACGTTAAGTTATTGTCTCCTCTTGGAATAGCGATATCAATCTTGGTATGGGAGTAACGCTCGGATCGCTGTGTATATAATGTTATATGCGAAATGGGGGAGGGTAAGAGTTGCTGTGGCAAACCCGTGACTTTCGGGCAGGTGCCAAGTAATATACCTCTTCACCACTCACCACCATGTTGACTCGCTTCAAGTGGACCACAACTTCTTTAAACCTGGGGTAACCCATTTTCAAACTATATTTCTCAAGATAATAGCAGAAAGTCATCGTTGTGGCCGCTTTAAACGCCAGAAATGTGTGAGAATCGCCCATGCATGTTCATTGAACTAAGGCTCAACTCACACGCAGCCGTCTTTCGGCCAGACTCCTCATTGAACGACGCAATTTCTACTGTATTATTCAAGTCGAGCCATCGAGTGGTCCTTGAGCCTGCAATATGGAACCCTCAAGCCTACCGCGACGTCGAGTGGTTTTCAAGCGTACAACGTCCAATGTTCCTCAAGCCTACACCGTCTCGGCTCATCTCGGAGAAAACATCTGGGACTCAACAGGAGTCGGAAGACGCACGGACGTTTCCATGTCTAAGGAATGCAGAATGCAATTGGGTCGATGAACGCGCTTTTGACTGGCAGTGAGTGTCAGACTCAATC